GGTGAAAAATCCCAACATTTACTTTATTGCCCCAAAACCCCAAAACCCCAAAACCCCTTTGGAATGGATATCCATTGAACTAAAATTATTTTAGTGGGTTTTGAACTTTAATTCAAAATTTGTTCCAAGTGCAAACCCAATCCCTTCTTTATGGAACCATTCTTCTGGTACTGAATAGTCTAGGTGGGGGATGAAGTAAGCTGCCAGAACTTTCATCTCAAGTGTTGCAAAGGCTTGTCCTGGGCAAGCTCTTGAACCATGTCCAAAAGATCTTTTGGAATAAATATTGGGAGAGATGCCTAACTCTTTAGACTTCTTCGCAAAATCTGAACTAGGATCATGTTTGTCTGGCTCAAAAACATGAGGATCAAGCCATTGGGTCTCATCATAATGCGTTCCAACAACATCCAAATGGAACAAAGTCCCTTTAGGAATAGGAACGTCACATATCTCAACATCTTTCCGAGCTTCATAATGTGTAGTATGGGAGCATCAATTCTTAAAACCTCTTTTATAGCATTTGAGAGGTACTCTAATTTTTGGATATTCTCCATCGTGAGTGTCTTTTCCAGATTGCAGCCCTTAGTGAACCCATGCTGTTCAAGCTCCTGTCTTAGTTTAGAGAATGTTGAAGGATACTTCTTCAAGAAGTATAGCACTGATACAAAGTTATGAGAAACTGTGTCTCCTCCACCCAAGATGATCAGTAGCAAGTCATTAAAGATATCTTCTTCGCTAAACTTCTCCAATTGAGATATCTGGTGCCAAACTGAGTCCTTGTCTTGAGAACGACGTAAGACTTCTCTAGTTATATGCTCTTTAAACTCCTCATGTTGTTGCTGTTTCTCTTCCAAGGATTAATAATATTCCACTTATTCAGGAAGGGTAAGAAAAATGTAGCTGGATGCGCACCTTCAACATGGTATGATTTCATTACCTGACCAAAGTACTCCACAAGACTATACTTTTCAATCGTACCATCTGGTGCTTCATAGTCGTGTTTTTCAGTGAGGAAGTTGTCTAAGTCTTTTCCGAACAGAATCGCCATGAATACTTTATTGGTCATGTATATATCCCTTCGGGCTTGGATTTGAACCAAATTGATATAATCAGTATGTTCCAAAATCTTTACCTCCTTTTCTTCCTGTATTTTAGATAAAGTCTGAGCTGCCATCTTTAAAATGACCGGGATGTGTTGGGAAGAAGTACTAACACCAAGCAGTTTGAATAGACTCTTCCTGCGTTCTACAATATCTGGAGTGGATGCACAGTTGATAAAAGATCCATCTGCAAATTTTATGCATCCGAATTTCAAGCTGTAGTTATTCCGAATATCCGCTCTATCAATAACTGATGGGATCAGGCCGACTACTTCTTTGACTGCTTTGTTCGAAACGAAGGTGATAATAGGCTGAAAGCCTTGGATATAAACCTTCATGTCTGCTCCTCCCATCTTTGATTGCAACTTTTTCAAATTGTCGTAATAAGCTCTTCCATTATTTATATCATCCAAAGAAGGCTTAAGATCTCCTACAATGGGATTGAATTTCTCAGTTACATACACATTCTTATATTTTTCAAATTTTCTCCTGAATGTCAAAGGGACATAAAACAATTTGTATCCAAAGTAGATAGCCATTGCTAAAAGAAACAGGATTAAATATTTCACTACGAGCCAAACAAAATTGGTCAACATCTCCAAAGCCATATTTGACCTATATTGAAAATTTACGAAGCAATCCTTATATATTAACCAGGGGTTTTGGGGTTTTGGGGTTTTGGGG